ATCCTCCCAAACGCTGAGTGGAGAAACGGACGGGGAGGGGGCGGGCATAGAGCTGGCTCTGTCAGCTGTCACTCAAGCAGCTGGGTGGATCTCGACGGTATTGTCGGGATCTGTCCCGGCTGCGGCGGTCTCCGTATACTGCGAGCTATAGCCCGCGATATACTGAGCTTTGGGTCACGGGAGGAGGTTAGTATATGTCCTCCCGTGACCCCTAAGAGAACTATGGGGAAAAACACTTACCCCATAATTCTCTCAAGTATAGTTCTTTAGGGTTCTGCATTTAAGCTGTGACTTTTCTTTAAACATGTTCTTCTCTTCTTTCTGAAGGTACCCAAGCCCACCTGTCAGTGCAGGATCAGCACCCATTGTTGTAGCATCAGAAGAAAACTTGGAATATGTACGAACTCTATATGACTTCCCCGGGAATGATGCCGAGGACCTTCCTTTTAAAAAAGGAGAAATTTTAGTAATTGTTGAAAAGCCAGAGGAACAATGGTGGAGTGCCCGGAACAAAGACGGTCGCGTTGGTATGATCCCCGTACCCTATGTCGAGAAGCTAGCCCGTCTACCACTTCATGGCAAAATGGGGAACAGGAATTCAAACAGCTATGGTATACCAGAGCCCGCACATGCCTACGCTCAGCCGCAGACTCCCAGCCCGCTGCCTACCTCTGGCACTCCTCCTGCTATCACTCCACTACCATCTACCCAGAATGGACCTGTCTATGCTAAAGCTATTCAGAAACGAGTGCCATGTGCTTATGATAAAACTGCTCTTGCATTAGAGGTAAGTTGCTGTGCATAGAGTAAGCTTACAGTTCCTATGAAAGATATGAAGAATTCATTGATGCGGCTATCTTTCTATACAATATCTTACTTGCCGAGTCCATTTGTTGCGTCTTTTGCAAGAACTATTATTCAATCAATTGATTTGTAGGTTGGCGCCACTTTCATATATCTTAAAGATAAAGAAAACTGCCACAGCTGTCTCACCCAGTGTTGCAGGCTGCCATTGCCTGCATCCTAGAACTTGTGCTAGTTCCAGGGGATGTTTGGCACTGTGGGAGAGCTGCAGAAGAGTGCTCTACCCTGGAACTGAGACACTAGCAGACTTCAGTGCTGGTTAGGGGACTTGGATGTGCTGGATAGGTCACCCTAGCAGGTTCCCTTGAAAGGTTTGGTTGGTTAAAACAGACTTGTGAGGATCAGGAGACTATCAGGTCTTGTAAGGATACATGAGATAGTAATAATGAGTGCTTCTAAGTCTCAGACTTTATTGTTGTGCATGTCCCACAGTTAGTGTAACGATTGATCAAGTGAATGCAAACTTGTAGGCCTGATGAGGAGAGTAAACCAGATGTGGATTATAATGCAGGCACCTCGTGGTAAGTCTGCATGCGTCATTATCCTATTTGCTCTAGAATGCAAACAGTGACCATATCTTTTCTTACATTGTAGTCCAGCCTGAACTACAGGCAGCCTGTCGCACTTTGTAGAGTGTGAGCGAGCAGCTAGGGGCTGGCCACTGCATATCCATAAGAAGTCTGTTCCTTGTTTGCATTAGAGCACTATGGATTCTAGAGGTACAGAAACTCTCATGAAATCATCTAATCATGCTTGGAGGTGGTGCAAGGTGCCAGTATTCTGAGTCTGCGAATGGTTTTTACCCTTCTATAGATGCACTTTTATTTGTGTAGGACACAGCTTGTCTTTTGTGTTCATTTTGTGTTTTAAATATCATTTTCCATAGTCATGGTGTCTGTAAACTGATGGGCAAAATATTTACACATTTTGTGATGAGAAAAAAAAGTAAAATGTTCTAGTATGTAGTACGAAAGTTGCAGGCACTGTATTCTCATTTATATACATAACTTTAAGTAGGTCTGTACTGGGCTCAATTTCTCAAGTGTTAATTAGTAGAACATTATCACTGAGTCTCTCTGGGTTGTTTTTCTAATTAGGTTGTTTCTTGGCAAATTGACACACTTCACAAGGTTAACAAGTAGGTCGTTGTGTTCCGAGCACTTGAAATCCCAGCAAGTTTGTTTGACAGGCCTGATATATTTTCAGTAACTGTGTGAGTTCTGGTTTTTGGATACTACATTCAGAACACATCATCTCTTCTGTATGCAGAAGTAGAAATAAACATCAGAGCCATGTAGTCTTTGAAATTAAAGGCACGTTCTGTATGCCAGTTGGTACATCTAAGCCTACATAATGAGATATGTTGTAAAATATCAATGGTTGTCCTGATTGAGTTCATCATCCTAAATATTGTTATATGATATGACACCAGGTCAGCTTTGACTCATTGCTGCTGTACCTGGATCTTCATTGCAGCATTCATTTGTGTAAGATTGTGAAATTCTGTTGCTATAAATGTATTCTTTGCATAAACGTAGTAAATCCATCATAAACCCCGGCAATTCAGACTGAATATATCATGGAAAAAGCGACAGTAGATCTAGAACAGCCTTTCTCAACCTGGGTGTCGTGGCGCTCTGGCTTCCTTGGGTGTCTTAAACTTTTCACATTGTTATGCCTCCAATGAGGAGAATGCTCCTGATGTGAAAAAGGGGGACTGCAATGTATAGAGGGGCTCCTAATAAGAAGGTGGGCTCTTGATGTAAAGGGGAACTCTGATGCTGGGGGATTTTGATGTGAAGCAGAATGTGAACTTACTTTTTTGGCATTTTTGCTTGAGGTTCCCCCTTAACCATTCCTGGCCCCTTACCCTGGGTCTTGTATGGAGTTTTTAAGGGACTACGTCATTTAAAAAAATATTTATGGCTTTTACATTTTAGACGGTAGTCCCCTGAGATTTTACATATTTTTTAAGGGTGCCATGACTGATAAAATGTTGGGAAACCCTGATGTAGATATACAGTCACCCAAAGCGGTACAGAAATGGTCACTTTTCTGCTGTCTCCTGGTTTAGGCAGACTGACTCTGGAATTCCATATTGATTATTCCACCCCTGTTGTGATTGGGGGTGTCATTGACCCATAGGAAAGGTGTAGGAACAAGCTTGATTTTTATAGACAAGTTGAAGATTTGAAGCGCTGTCTCTCTCAATCTACTGATCATGTAAAACATTTATTTTTACTGAGGGGAACCTCCTGTATTTCCTTTTTCGTGACCCACTCAGGCTTCACAGGTTTACATAAAATTAGGTTATTACATCTTTGCTATAAAAATGGCTGTTCTATGAATTCTGTATTCGCCTCTTTTATTCCAATTAACACATGCTCGGGCTGTGTAAGTGTTGAGCCAAGAAGAGCGCTTACATTGTGTTATCAGACAGAGCAGCTTGGCATGAAGTCAGCAGGGAGAATGTGAGATGAGGAAATGACACATGGTAAAGGTTTGACTCAGAGGAAGAGTGTGTGTGTGTGTGTGTGTGTGTGTGTGTGTGTGTGTGTGTGTGTGTGTGTTCAGGTGGGACTGAGGTGTGCATGGAATTTT